TGTTTGTGAGGTTGGTCGCATAGTCGCGCCTCAGTCCGGCAGCATGGCTTCCAAGTTTGGGATGCTTGTTAGTCGTCCCCGTGTCACCGCGTGGGAGTCATTCGTCATCAAAATTTATTGTTCGTTTGCAGGGCCGGTCACCTTCGTTCGTTGTTGTCACAGCAGATCAAGTTCAAGTTATTTATCAAGTTGTTTTTAGTCTTAGTTTTGTTTTAATTGTCCAAGTTGTGCATTCGTTAACATCATGCTCAACTTGAGGGGGAGTGTTAGGGAATGCATTAGGGTTTGTTGTTAACGGGCTCATTCTTGTTGGGCTCGTAATTAGGTCATAGTCTCGTAGCTATTATAAATGGCAGATCTATTTGTAATTAAATCACTCAAGTTTAGATATAATTATATTTCTACATGGTATCGGAGCCAAATCTTGAGAAAACCTAAAATCCTAGTTGCCTTTAGTTTGCCGCTTCCGCCGCCGCCGTCGCTTGCGGTTTGTCCAGCGACGGCGGCATCACCATCAAATCTCGTTGCGCCGAAAGGGCGTGAAACCCTAGTTCACTCTAGCTTCTGCCGCCGCCGTAGTTTGTCCGGCGATGACGCCGTCACCCTCGTTCATTTACCAAAATCCACCGCCACTGATTGTCGATCCAAGTCCAGTGCCACAGTCGGAGTCCCATTTGGCAGTTCATTGGCGTCCTCACCCTTAAGTTTTCAAAACAAAGGGTTGACTTAAAATTAGAATGTTTGAATGGGATATAAAGAGTTTTTTGTGACTTAATTTCTGCAAAAAATGTTAACATCCAATAAAAAATTTTAAAATCCGAAAAAAGAATCATTACGATCTCATCATTGCTTTTACTCGATCAGTTCCGGTGGCCTATTATAAAATAATATAGTCATATTTGCCTCTAGTTTTGTACTCCCTCTGTCCCAAAAAGAATAGGACGGTTTGACTTTTTGGGAAATTAAGAGAAGGATATTTTGGTATTGACTTTCCAAAAATACCCCTGATGTGATGGGTAGATTATTAGAATAAAGGTATGATGTGATAGGTAGGGTATGAAAAAGTAAGAGGTAAAAGTGGTTTTTTAATAGAAATGTAACGGACTTTATGGGACGGAGTTTTTTCTAAACGTAACAAACTTTTTGGGACGGAGGGAGTATATCTTTAGATATAACTTTTTAATATATAATTTTTATTTTTAGATTTTACACCATTTTTCTTATAAAAATATTTAAAAAATAAATTCAGTCAAACATCGAACACGGAACTAGAAATTTATTTGTAGATAAAGGGAGTATATCTTTTAGAAATTTTATTTTCGACATTTGGAATCTTTTCACGTTTGCATTAATTAGTTTAGACTAGCTTCGTCAACGAGCCAAGTGTTCTTGATTTTGAAAAAAAAAAAATGAACAGTGTGTGTAAATGCTTAATTAGAAAAACTAGTTCCATATATACTCCCTTCATCCCTATTTTGATGGTAAAATATGGTTACAAGGTAAAAATCCATGATTTTTGAGATCATTTTATTTACAAATTGATACAATAAGAAATAAAAATTACATGTTAAAAAACTATATTAAAAAGTCTACAAAACAAGATGTCATAAGAATATTTTATTTTATCAAATAATTAATGAAAACACACAAACAAACAAAAATTATCGAGAAGAAAGAGAAAATAAAATTGTAATCAATATTGAGACATGGGAAGTATATCCTAGTATTAATTTCTGACAATTGACATCACGAAATTTTGAAAAGTTATTTAAAAATAAAGAATTTGTAGTTAGAATTTTATAAGATGAGAGAGAAGTGTTCGTAGTCACTTATGCATGACCAAATTAAGAAAAAAAGATAAGCGTAAAATACTTTTTAGAACGCAGTGTTCGAAAAGAAAATGTAAAGAATTTTATGGATAGATGAAGTACGCAATTCATAACTATTTTTCCTATTTTTTAAAATATAAGAAGTGCAATTTTCTCAACCACAATGTAATTTATCAATTTTAACTTCAGAGATGTTACAAAAAATATTGAAAGAATATTATATATACAAGCTATGCCCTTCTTTTGACACTTACGAGCTGCTAGGCCTCATGGTTCTCTAATTTATTCTATCAAGCCAAAATTGAATCATATCCTCATGCACAAAAAAAAAAAATTCACACATCTTTTTAAAATTTTAAGAACTTGAGAAGTTCGTCATCAAAATAGTTATTGAATTGATTTATCTTACTAAGGTTATCTACGGGCAGTGTTTAGCGTTAACATTTTCAAAATAATTTATACCGTTAAAATTTTATCCAAAAGACTAACGTTAATCTCAGACAATATTATTCCCAAACAAGTTCAAAGTTGGTACTCGTAATTTACATGTAAAATTTGCACTAAATAAGACTAAAACATAATGATTTTCCCAATGTAGGATTTAAACTTTTTTATTCCTTAAATATGACTTAATAATGACCTAGTGGAAGGAATAATGTCTTGTAATGATGGACATGTACTTGAATAATGACTACTTGATAATGACCAAAAATCCTACATCGAGAAATAAAAACATATGGTCCTATATTGGAAAAGTTAATAAGTTTTAGTTCTATTTAGGTAAATTTTTCATTTTACATTCACTTCAACATGTCTTTTGATTATATACAATCTCTTTGTAATAAAATTCATATACTCCATATGGTTTTTTCTCCCGAAATTATTACTCGTTTTTTATTATGTGACTATTCCTTTTATGGCAAAAAATATGATGTCTTAATTTTAAATATTAAAATATTATCATCATAACAAACAAATGTAAATGAGCTAACTATAGAGACATAATTTTGGATTGTGGGCGGGGATCCCGAAAATTTCGGAAATGCCTTGGCCGCCTTCCTTGCAACTCCGCCCCGCCGCCGCCGCCGCCGCCGCCGCCACCACACATTTCTTCATTCCCATTTCCACCTGATCAACACCCAATCTGCCCCTATCCTCCGCTTCACTCTCACCGTCTTCTTCCTCCGTCATATTCTCTTCTCCTACTGTTCCGGCGGCGTCTGCTTCACTATCTTTATCCCCGCCGTCGTAATTATTGTTGTCGCCGGAACAATTACTCGTATTCCCCTCGTTTGTGTAAAAGAATATCTTGAGGCGGCCGCTGCTCGCCTCCACCTGCCGGAAAGATTGCCTCGAGAGGACGTCGGCCGCCGCGACCACCAGCCTTCCCCCTTCACGCCGACATGTGAGCCGGCGACAAGCCGGGCCCCGCATCGTCGTCAGTGGAGGCGGAAAGTCGTTGCAATCGCCTCTTGAGTAACACTTTTTCTTACTATTATTATTATCATTCCCTCTCGAGCCGGACGAATCGAACGATTCGTCCGCTTGTTTGTGTGAACCCGGGGCCGGCCTGTCCATGGAAACGACGAGAGAGTAAAGCTCGTCGCTTTCAAAGATGTCGGCCCCGGTTTCACTCCCGAGAATCTCGGTGCACATGGCCAGGCTCTGCTCGGTCATTTTGCGGAACGAAGGCTTCCGAGGCGGAGGGCGCATCTCCGCCGCCGCGTCGAACGGAGAGAGCTGGCTCGGGAGGGTACTCCACCCACCATGTTCTTCGGGGTTTCGACGTGGCGGCCAGGGAGAATGGGCCGCCCTCAGCCTCCCACTTGCGGCGGCGTTGCATGATGAGTGCAGCTGGTTATCATTATTAGTGGTAGTATTTGGTTGTTGTTGATGATTATTAGTATTATGGTAAACTATGGGGGGCATGGTAGAATATAATATATGGAGGTTCAACTATATATGTAAAAAGCTTGTTGTTATTGTTATACGGCGGAGTATGTAAAATCTTCGGAGAAATTAAGGTTTCACTTGGAGGATTAACTAAAGAAGAATGAGCTAGGTATATATAGAGAGTGCTGAGAGAGGGTCTCTCTCTAGCGCGGTGCTCAGCCGAGCTGAAATCCCCGCCTAAAATAAGCGGTCCGCCACGCCTCGATTTGTTTTTTTTAAATTTTCAATCATATAAATTTAACACGTCTTCCACTTCCATCCATCTACTCTCATCTCTCTCAATTTTCCTCCTCTTAATTTCTCTTGAACACATATTCCACTTCTATCGTCTTTTATCTTGATGTTTTTTCATTTTTTTTCAAAATTTTAATTATATTTTGGTGCATTTCGTTCTGATGTTTTTAATAAATCTTAGTATTTTCATTTTAACTATATGTATTTTTAAAAGAAAATTGGAATTAAAAATGCTGAAAAAAATGGAGAGACGACAGGTTTTCGGGACGATAGCATTGCAGAATTTTGGGGTGTGTCTCAAAGTTAGTAGAATGCTGATGTGGCAAAAGTTGGGGCGTGGCAAAAACGCCCCCTATTGTAAATGCTCTTAGCAACAAGTATTGAAAAATGACTCATTATTTCAATCACTGTCTAAATTGTTTTTAATAATGTCTTATTTTACTTGAATTGTGTAACAGGTCATTCTTCTCAAAGGCAGGACATTTTATAATTTTTTATTGCCAAACATTAGAGTAAATAGGACGGACTCGTCCTATTTAAAAAAAAGTAATATGTTTAAGTCTAATTTACGTAAATTACTCATCTTTCTTCACGTGTCACAAACAAAAGAAAAATCCCAAGTTTTTTGAGTTAATATATACTCATTTACATTGACACCGGTGTGGATGTTTAATTTGGGACACCTACGGTATTAATAAACCTGGCAAAATTAAACCGGATCCGATAACCCGAACCGAATAACCCAGAATCAAACCTGAATTGACCTAAAAATTAAAGAACCGAAATAGAATCGAACACCTGAAATGATCCAATCTGAACCAAACCCGAACCAAATGTATTCACATCCAATTCAGATCTGAATCTGATTTAACCCGAACTGATTTAACCCAGACCCGGTTGAACCCAAAACCGATTAGAACCGAAACCGATTAGACCCAAAATTGATCAAATTCATTAGCATTTCATTTATCAAATGAATTTGGAGAAAAAGAATTACCCGTGTATTTTTACATATGTTTATGTGTTTTTAAAAAAACATATTTAAATTATGGGTGCAACCCGTGTAACTACTTTCATGTATGAATCTTTTACTCCAATCCATAATTTATAATTTAAGTTAAAGTGTTTTTTTTGTATTTTATCGCCTTCAAACTTAAAGTTTGACCAATATCGTCTCTTCAAAAATATTAGCAAAAATATTAAAAATAAAACATTAAAAGTTTTTTTAATACCAACAATTTGGTAATAACTTTTACTCTGTATATTTTAATTCATTATATATTTTTATATCTAACTATTCAAATATTTGATACACATAGTGAAATGGATACTTAAATAGAAATAAAGAAATTATACGAAGTAGAATGTTAATTAAAAAGATCACACCGAAAACTTTAGGAGGGAAAACTTTGGAATGTAAATAATTAGTCAATTATGTAAGTGTTATTTTTTATGTGCGTATGTGTTAAATAATAATAAAAACTACGGAGTATATTATAAATTGATTAAATTTATTATGTGATATTATTGATTTATTAGTAAATATTTAAAATATATCTGAACTAATATAAACCTAAATCGATACAAACCTGAATCGATATAAACTCGACCCGAGCCGATATAAATCCGAACCGATATAAACGTGATCCGATACAAACCCGAACCGAATCCAAAAACCAGCTAAACCAAAATAAACCCGGAATCGAGCTGACCCAAACCAAACTGACCTCAACCGATTATAACATATATCCGAATAAAACTCGAATCGAAAAGACCCCAACCGAAACCAAACAGATTGACCCGATTGGGAGGGTCTAAGAATGGATATCTAATTGTTTGGGTATTGTAGGAATCGTACGGCCACCCACACACTGTTTTCCCATCTCTTCTCTCTGGCTCGTTCGCTCTGACTCTCCGCCGATGGCGAAGGCGTTGCCAGGTGGTGGTGCTGCACATACCATCTCACTCACCCACGCCACTCCCCTCCTCAGCAGCATTGCGGTTTCGGTGGAGGCCCTTCTTCTTATTTCATTTGTTATGCTCCTCCTCCTCCTCTTCATCCTCATCGCCTGCAAATTCAGACCATGGCGCTTCCTCTCTTCCTCCTCCTTCTCCACCGCCGTCTCTTCCCGCTCCCGCACCGCGATCAAGGTACCGCTCCGATCCCCCCTCCCCTCAAATTCATACCCAATTCTTGATTTTGTATATGGAGATAGATGTTGTCACGGATCATGCATTCTTTTTTATTCATGGAGACGGTTCATCTATTCTTGATTTCTTGATTCTCTACTCTGGCCTAGATAATAATATATCTGTAAAAGACCCCCCTTTTTTATTATCTTTATTTTCTTTAAAAAAAATTCTCTTGACTTTTTCTACCTAAGATTGCGATTAGGAATCAATTTGTTTGTAAAATTCGATTGAAATGGTTCTGAAATGGAAAAGAAATGCATTACAGGACTGATGAGTTCTTGATTTTCTTTTTGAATTTGGTGGCGATTTGGGAAGGAATAATTGGATTGTGGATCTAATATTAGCTGGCTAAGTGTGTTGTATGTTGGGTTTCTGAGGAATAGGATCTGAGATGTGAAGGAAATTAAAATGTTTGATAAAGGTGGAGCCTTTTCCACAAAAAAATAGCTTTTTTTCTCTTGTGCAATACTGCAATGAAATACTACTATGAAGTAACAGTTAACTATGTAATTGTGTGCTCTAATGAGTTTCTACAGGCTGAAGATGTGGAGAGGCCTTTTATCTCAGACGATTTTGATCTGGGCGGTGAATTCGGTAGAAGTCATTCTGTGGAGAGTGCAGGTCACCATACTCAAGAAACTTTTGGTTCTTCTCGGACCCACAAGCCTGTACATAAACAAAGACTCCCCTATACAACATCGCATTTGAAACACAGTATGTAATGAACTACCATTCATGTTAAATTGTTATTTGTTCTCTCTCTCCCCTTTTTGGAGATGAAGGGATAAACAATGGGCTAGCTTCTTTCAGGTGATAGTTTTGTCCTTGATATTGGTGATACTTCAGAAGATGCTCTACTGGGGCAAACACTTAAGCGTCCGGTTGGGATAACTCAGTTTCACGAAGAGCCGAAACCAGAAATAGCTGAAGATACCAAGAAGCTTGGGGAGTTTGTTCCAAAGTATCTCACTGATCAAAGTAACTTTTATCAATTATCAAAGTGTTTGTCGTTTTTTCTTATGTTCTGTCATCATGATGTAATCATGTAAAACATTTCATCATCTGTCACTGTTAGAAGTGCAGGCAGTGTCCTTATGCTGGAGGTTATATCAGGGCCATCTTGTGGCCTTAGGTATTCAGTACAGTCAAGTGACATGTCCAGACTTCCACTTAGTCTTGGAAGAGTGGCGCCTAGTGATATAATGCTGAAGGATTCTGAAGTTTCTGGAAAACATGCCCTAATAAACTGGAATTTGAATGTAAGGTGTTTGGAAAATCTATGGTCTCCTTTTGCAACGTTTGTTTTGTTTAATATATTTACTGTCTGCTACTTTTTTCCCAGAAATTGAAGTGGGAGCTGGTTGACATGGGTAGCTTGAATGGCACTCTTGTAAGTTCTCGTATAGCACACAACCCTCATTCAGGAAACAGACAATGGGGTGATCCAGTCGAGCTTGCAAATGGAGACATAATAACACTTGGGACAAGTTCAAAAGTGCTTGTGAGTTGATCAACATGTTTAGCACCGATATAGAGAACCCATTTGGGAAGACATATCCTAAAAGCCCCCCCCCCTCAATCTCGTGCTTTTGTAAATAAGCACAAAATGTGTTTAAGAAAATTAAACACTTTTTAAAAAATTTTCTTGCCAAACGCCTCTCAGGTTCAGGTTATGTCCCAGTCCGAGTGTCATGTTCCATTTGGGGTTGGGCTGGCATCTGAACCCATGGCCTTACGCCGTGGAGCCAAAAAGTTGCCCATGGAAGATGTCTCTTTTTACCAGTGGCCTATACCGGGGACTGATCAGGTCTTATAATTGAGCTTTTGTTTATTTATTTGTATTTAGTATTTACCTTATTTTCATACGCACTTGTATCAATGGGGTGGCATAAAATATTTCTCATATGTTTATGTAGTTTGGATTGTTTGGCATATGCGATGGGCATGGTGGAGCTGCAGCTGCCACATCTGCTAGCAAGTTAGTATTTTACTCTTCTATCCCTGAGTTCCTAAATAAATACTCCGTAATACAAGATTTTCATTTTGAAATTTGGATGGAACAAATTAGTGAATTACTAATACCTATTTAGGCACACTCCACTTGTGGGGCTTTATAAGTTAACATCTACATTCTTGTTTTTTTTCCTTGCCAGATTACTGCCACAAATTGTTACTAGCATTTTGTCAGATTCGTCAATAAGGGAGGCAGTTTTGTTGCAATGTGATGCTTCAAATGTCCTTCGAGATGTGTTTTCCCAAGCAGAAGCTCTCTTGAATCACTACTATGAGGTTTAGATTTCCTTTAATGTCGCTTGTCAGCTCTACATCCACTTAGTGCATTTAGATGATAACAAAAAAAACATATTTCAGGGTTGCACGGCGACACTGCTTCTAGTTTGGACAGATGGCCGTGACAATTTCTACGTGCAATGTGCAAATGTTGGAGATTCAGCTTGTGTTGTTAAGTATGTCGCCTTCTCTTCTTTATGAATTCCACCATTAGTTTCTTTTCAAATTTATTTCCTACCCTTTGGCCATGTTTGGCAATCAGCTGCTCCTTTGTGTAAAAGAAAGCACTTTTTTTCACAAAAAGCTCCTTGCCAAACACGCCCTTTGCCTCAACAAGTGAGTAGTGAAAGGTCCTAGCTAATATTGTGTGGCAGTGTTGATGGGAAGCAGATTAAAATGACCGAAGACCACAGGATAAGTAGCCACTCTGAAAGGCTCCGCATTGAAGCCACCGGTGAACCTCTCAAGGATGGGGAAACACGTCTATGTGGTAAATTACATTTTACTCCCTTGTAGTTTCTGTTTTTTTACAACCTACTTCGGACATGTTCTTTTCAACTTTATATTCTAGTTACCTCTAGGGCACCCCCCCCCCCAAAAAAAATATAGGTAAGGTCATTGCTTTTGGGGTATGTGCAGGTTTAAACCTGGGTAGGATGCTGGGAGACAAGTTTCTAAAACAACAGGAGAATCGTTTCAGTTCAGAACCGTATATAAGCCAAGTTGTATACATGCATCAGACAAGCTCTGGTTTTGCATTGTTGGCTAGGTCCCCTCTCTCATCCTTCTTCTTAAACTACTAGTATTGTATTGTCCATGCTCTTCTCCCATTATTATGCTTTTAACAGGAAAAAGACATAGAAAATAGAAAATGTATCAAAATAGGAGTTCCCAGTTTTTATTCCCAAATTAGGAGTTAAAATGCATATACACTGCTAATCATGCCAATATATAATACCCAAAAAAATTGTGAAATGTCAATATATAGTGTCACATTATCACAATGCAAACTTCTATTTTGGGGATAAAACATGGAGTTCCTGTTTTGATTCTTTTTCAATGTTTTATTCATGTTTAGAGTGATTTCTTATATGAATATGCAGCGATGGCTTTTGGGACGTGATAAATACCCGGAAGGCGGTCCAGCTTGTCCAACAGGTAATGGTTGTCTATGCTTTATCCCACATTTTCTTCCAAACCATTATTATTATTCGTATTCAGATTGATGTTTGATTCATTTGTTTTTAAATTTTTTTTATTCGACCTGGTCAAGAAATGGGATTTACTCACTTTTTTTTAACGAATAAGTAAGAATCACATATGCGATAAAAAAATTATTCGCTTCGTTTACAATTCTTTCTGGTATGTGAATCTTTGCTCTTTTGTGCAGATTAAAGAAAGAAACACAAAGAAGGAAGAAATATCAGCGGAGAAGGTAGCCAACGCTTTGTTGAATGAGGCCAAAACGCTGCGGACCAAAGATAACACTTCCATAATTTTTCTTGATTTTGAGACCCCAATTGCAATTTCTCATAATAGACCATAAACCTTAGTGTATCTTTTTTTTTTTGAAATATTTTTAGTTATAAATATATCTGTACATATATATAATTATATATACACTCTTGATGAATTAAATTTGTAACTTAGCTAGTCCAGTTTTGCTACGTAGAAATCCCACCAATAAATAGAAATAAATTCAACAAATAATTGGGAGGGGTTTCCCCCTTTTTTTTTAAAGAGTTCGAGTACAAAAAATACTACGGAGTATATTCCGTTTGCCCCTTATTACTTGAGCTTTTGATGTTTTTATATACTCTGCATATATCATATTCTATTTTTGATGTGCATTTAAATAAAATATATTGAAAAACAACTGCAAACAAATACCGTGAGGGCAGAACTAATTAGGGCATTATACAGACACATCCTTCTAAATTGGTAACAAAAATAGAGTATCAGATAAAATCTGATTGTTTTACTCCAAAAAAGTTCTCCCGTTTCAAATTAAATTACATATTTACTACTAAAAGATCAAGTACAAAAATACTATTTTCTGTTTGTCCCTCGTTACTTGAGCTTTTGATGTTTTTATACACTCTATAGACGGAGTATATATTTTATTTTTGACATGCATTTAAATAACTTTGTAACAAAATACGGAATATCAAATAAAATGTAAAAATTGATTGCTTTACTCCAAAAAGTACTCTTCTTTCAAATTAAATTGCATACTTACTATTCAAAAGATCTGATTTATTCACTTTCTTTTTTTAATTTCATTACTTATTTGATAAAATAATATAATTGCGTCACTTCTTGTTTCGTAGATTTTATATACTTTTTTTTTTAAAATGTATATTTTATTTCTTAACTTTGGTCAAATTCTTAAACAAATTATATTGAAAATAATTTTAGTCAAATATAACAAACCAAAATAGTGGAACTTAAATTAGAACGGGAGAAGTAAGAAAACAAAAATTGCGGGCTTAAATCCCATTTACATGGTTGAAATTGGTGTATGAAAGCAAATGATAGCCCAGATTGAAAGTGCGGGCTTAGAGCATCTCCAACCATAGCATTCTAACTTGCTAAAAGTTATAATATAGCTAGCAAAACACTTTTGTTCTTCTCCAAGGGGTGTGCTTTATTTTAGCAACTTTGCTAAAAAATAACTTTGGCTTGTTAAATATGACAAACCCCTCAAACTTTAGCAAGCCAATACTTAAAAAATAAAATAGCAAATTATGGTTGGAGAATGAAACGAAAAAGTACTTGTTATATCACTATTGACTTGCTATAATGTAAAAATAGCAAATTTATAACAAGCATGGTTGAAGATGCTCTTAAAAAGGCCACATTTGACTTTTTAACAAACCCCCAATTTTGGCGATGGGTAAAAACCACAGTAGAGTTTTAGGCCTTCCCTGAATTCAAATAAAATTACACCAAAAGCCTTTCAGTCTACAACCAAAATGCAATACAAATTGTTCTCTGCTACCTAAGCTAGCAGAGCTAACATAAAAACTCTGCACTGGCACTGGTACTAGAGCATCCATCCATCCATCAATCAATCACATGAAGAAAAACAGTAAAAAAAACAAAAGGACAGCCAATGTTCATGGGGATGATGCAGCAGATTTAAGGTTGTGGGGAAGGAGTACTAAGATTCAAGAAATACCTTGGGAGGAGATATGGGGTTGGATTTCACTCATCCCCACCACTAACATCAAGGTTTTTGAGCTTTGACTCAAGTTCGTCGTCATCGCCACCACCACCACCACTCTTCGCCTCTTCTGATCCCTTCTCCTCCTCGTCGTCCTCGTCTCCACCCTCTGGGTCATTGTCCTCGAGCGTGTCGAGCTTTTCGGGACATTTCTTGAATATGTCCTTCACCTCATCGACACCTTCGTCTGATATGAAATTCCCGTTGACATTCAGCAGCTCAAAATCAGGGTTACCCATGAGTGTCTGAGCAAGCACCCGGGCCCCGGCCCTCCCCAACAAATTGCAGCTCATGTCCACCACCCTCAACCGGTCGTGACCCTCCTCCAAGGCCTTTGCTATCCGGATTGCACCGTCGTCCTTGAGCTCGTTCTCGGCAAGGTTGAGCTTCTCGAGAGATGCCTTCCCCCACAGGCACGAAGCCAGCGCGATTCCGCCTTCCGCGGTCACATCGTTTCCTGCCATCTCAAAGATTTTGAGTGATGCGGCAGATTCCTTTAGGGCATTGGCTATTGCGGTGGCCCCCACATCCTCCAAATTGAGGTAAGAAAGGTAGACCTCGGAGAGGTTCTCGTGTTTGGAGAGTGCTTCGCCTAGGGCCTCGCCTACATCGGACCCGAACATGTTGTCCCGCAAATCGAGCTTCACGAGACGGGTACATGTCTCGAGTGCTTTAGACAAAGCCCTACCTCCTTCAGTTCCCACCCTGGTGGAAGAACACCTGAAATCTTCCAAAGATGAAGAACGCGTCACAATCTTGGAAATAGCTATGGCCCCTTTGTCACCAGTCATGTTATTGTGAAAATGTAGAACCCTAAGTTTGTTTGTGGATGGAACTAGTTCACACACCGCCCGAGCAGCTTCCTCTGATATCCCGTCGTTCATCAGAAATAGTTCCTCCAGTCCAGTCTGGGACTCCAGGAGTTTTGAAAATGCCCTAACTCCCTTCTCCCCTAACGCGTTGTCTGAGAGATTCAGAGACTTCAGGTCACACCCTTCTAGAGCTTCTGAAAATATCCTCATGACTTCAAGAGCTTCTGCTTCGGGTCTCCCGGCAACAAAATCTGATAGATCAACTTCCTTGAGTTGGGCCTTTAGGGATGACAGGATGGGCCCGGCAACCTGGGCTGCTCCTATGCTAAAGCTTCGGTTGCTGAAACATATCTTGGTGTAAGTATTTCCTGGCTCTTGCAATGGTTTCAATAGTTCCACAGCTTCTTCTGCCTCTATGAATTCCCTTTTACCCTTGGAAATATCAAAAACAGTTTCACCGGAAGCAGGAGCAGCTTTAGATTCAGGGATCACTTTCTCGTCAGTCTTAGGAGGCTCTGTTTGAACCTCGGAAAAGTCTAAGGGAAAAATAGGAAGGAAAACATAAAAGAAATTTTAAAAATTCACATGGTGGTACATTTGAATATTAAATGAAGGTAGCAGAGCAAAAAAAGACCTCACATTATACACCCTTCTCTATACAAAAAGAGTGGTTTAATCAAGGTAAAACTTTTAAATTTTGAGTAAGGAATAACCATAATAAACATGAAAATTAGCTTGTTTTTCTTTAACATGACTTTTTTCTTAGACAAAATCATGTCAAGGAAGTAGATTCTTTTTATGGGATAGAGAGCATACTTTGTTTAAGGAGTAAGGATGAATCAAAAAGAAAAACACAAGCCTTATGTAGGAAGGGTGAAGCATATAAAAATTAAGAAACCTACTTATACATTTTAAAAAAAAAACCTACACATATTTGATTTTCCTTTGCATTTTCTAAGGTAAATCCAAACATTAGCATATAAATTTTCATGATCCAAACATACCCTTAGGAGTGTTCTTTAGAGCTTCTAGGATGAGCTTACTACATTCTTTAGCATAAAGCTGGACTGCCGAACTCCCATCACCATCAGGCTCCTTGTCATAGTGGCTATTTGCAACAGAAAATGCAACATCTTCAATCTGTTTGGACTTTTCAAAAGCATTGTCCTTGTTCAGACTACCATATTTGCGGGTGAAAATGGTAGGTGTAGATAGATTGTTGGTGATCCGATCCACCAAGATCTTCCTTGTGCTTTCACTTGGGGGCCACAATTTGATGGAAATAGTGTGTGGATTGGGAGTCAATGCTTTGGAATCCATTGGCACACCTATACATGGTGGATTCAAGCTTATCAATAACACTGGTACTTTTCAAATAACAGTTATACAGCAGAACGGCATTCAAATTAGAGTTTTCGAAAAACTCATCTTTCTTTGAGTGACATGTGTCTAAACTAAGTTGCACCAAGATGGGGAAGGGGACTTATACGGGAACAGGGTCGGAAGCATGGAAACAACAATTTTTCCAAACTTTATGAAAGAATTGAGGTATGGGACGTCCCCAAGTATCCAACGGGGGACGGGAAGCGACACCTATTCGAATGCAAGCTTTTCAAAATGAGAAATTCTATTTGTGCACAGAGAATTTTATTTTCCTGAGCTTTTTTTTATTGAAACAGAAGATGGAAGATGGTGATTAGGTGTGCAATTTCCACTCAGTCTCACATAGCATTTCTCTCTATGAATTTAACTAAAAATAGTCAGTTTTCCACAATCTCTGCATAAAATATGCTTTTGTCCAAGAAATAAGAGAAAGTCTGACAAAAATGCAGATGCAGATTTCTTAATAAAAGGAGTAATAAATACTGCATTAAAAATTAAAGTAAACACATTTTAATGGAATAGATTACTAGACACTCCTAACATTTAAAGAAACTGACACACATACCGAGTAAGAACAATTGCTGCCGAATCAGTCTGTTCTAACCCAAAATGCATAAAATAACAAAATTGAAAAAACAAAGCAAATACTTTTCGGAAACGCGAAAAAAAGATCTGCAGAATGGTGATTCGTACCCATTTTCAAGAGTATAGGTCTAATCGAATATATGTAGATTTGGAATTTCGATCATCGGAAAATCCACTAAAGATTAAAGATTGCTTCGAATCTGGACGATTGAAACCAGGCATGAATTTTAGATTCGGAAATGGAAGTCGAAGCAGGGGAGAGTGAGTGAGTGAAGAAGAAGAAGAAGAAGGGTAGAAAAGAGAAATACCTGAAGAGGAGGGGTTTGGATGGATATGGCGGAACGGGTTGTCCAGACAAGGATGGAAGGGGAGGGAACCCTTTTAGGGGTTTTAGGGAGATTTGAGTTGGGCCTTGTGTATTATTAACCAGCCCAATATACAGCTAAATTAAGAATAGTATTGAAGTAAAATGACTTAAATAACATATAAGTCATTTAAAAGTATTCATAAATGCTGAAGGACAATTTTGTAAATAATTTAGTCAAAACGGACAAATGAAAAAAAAACTAGCTTAAAAATAAGTAGTTAAGATCTACTTATTTTTTCTAGCTTATAAGTAATTTATAAGTCAACTTATAACTTATAAACACATACAAGCATGTTATCAGCGGACTTATAAGTTAAAAGCTCTTTATAAAATTTTTTGACCAACTCTGAAGTATAGAGAAACACTCACTATTCCACTAAGGCTCCTGTTTGAAAAAAATTGAAAAAAGATTAAAAATAGTTTGGTTTTTACTGGATTGTTTATGTTGCGACGACAGTTATACTTTTCACCCTTGATGTTGACGTCGTGGGGCTTTACCGGCCTCTTGAATGGCACTTTTGACAATTTGTAAACTTAATTGACACTTAATTATGGTTGCCCTCAAAATCATCTGGACAACAAAATCAAATGGATTGATTATTTGATAAGTTTTATGGTCTTAATGCTTTTGCTTAGTTTATTTTCAAGCAAACTCATGTGGCTTTTGAAACAATGCTAATTGAGTGATAATTTATCTATGTTCAAATGGTTACGCTTCAAAGGTTAAGTTGAGTAAAATATCAAAATGTTAAGAGCTCAAAATAAACTGCTTGAAAGTTGTTTTGCCGAAATTCCAGTTCAGGTAAATCAATATGGTACTAAGCTTTTTTTGTCTATCAAAATCTTTTAAAATATGAATTGAATACACCCCTAAGTTTAGGCAGAGTTAGCAAGCTTAAACAAACTGAATTTGATCTTTGGGTTGTAGCACCACCTCCACATTTAATGGACTTCCAGACTAATGAGCCGCCATGAATAAACTTTTATACAGACACTTTAACAAATGATGTAGGCTAAAACTAACTCTGATACCATGATACTCCGTAGAATTTAGTAAGGGGCAAGAGTTACCGGACTGAGTCATAAGACACTTGGACTGGACTACATGAGAAGATCAATTTAAATCGATTACTTGCTTCAAATCAAAAGCTTATATATTGATAATGTTTCTTTTGAACTGATACTTTAACAGCAAGAAATCCCAACATTGTATTACCATATTTGTGTAACCAGGTGCAGCAGGGAACCCAACTAAGAACACAAACAAAACATCCCATGAAAACATAGAGACACAAAAAAGCTTCTAGTCCATTTAAATATATATGGTGCAAGTAAAAAAAAATCAATCATATTGGACTAGCCGACTCACCACTAACTTTTCATTTTGTTCTGTTAAATGGGATGGGAGAGGTTCAAGCAGGACCGGCCCAATAAAGTGACAAACAGTCCATCCGGATCGAGCCCATAATGGTAAGGGGCCCAATTATTTTTTGAACCATGTTAGAGTGTTTGTCTGTGCGAAACATGTGTGCACCCCCTAACATTTTTCTTATTTTTTAGTATTATATGTATGTATATATAAAAAGCCCAGAAGCCCGCCCAAGTCAAAAGCCCATCTCAATAGCCGCCCCATCCCTTCCTACTTGGTGGACAACTAACGCAAACAGCAGAGGCGCAGAAGCTGAAGGACGAAGCCTACTGCCGAAACCGAATCGGAAAGAGAGTGCCGACTGCTGAGAACGCCGCCGGTAGAGAGACGCCTCCTCCGCCGACGCCGCCGCAAGACGCCGCTGCACCCTCCAGGTATTCCGTATTCACTATCTTTCCTATTTATTAATTTTTTTCTAATTTTCTTTCTTTCATTGTTTCATTCTTTGGATTTAAAATCTAGGGTTAATGATTTATTTTTAGTTTGAAATCTTTGCTAACTGTTATAAAATATGAATGAATTAATGGTTCCATACATTCTTTATTTGATTTGGATGAATTGATTTGAATTTATGATATATATAAAAAAAACTGAACACTGAAAAACTAAAAAATCTGAAAAAATGACAAATTGACATGAATTTAAGATGTATATAAAAAAGACTGAAAACTGAAAAAGAAAAATACTGAAAAGATGACGAATTGAATCAATTGATATGAGTTTTGATATATGAATTTATTTGCTTGCTTTTCCATATTTGATTTTACTAAGTAGTAAAATTTATGAATTTGAATTTTATTTCAGAAATAATTCAATAGCTATGGGTCCTAAACATCTATCCGGTAGTAAAAAAACGTAAAAAGAGAAAACCAGATGAAGATTGAGAAAGTCTCAAGCCGGATAAGAAAAGCTTTGGTCATTTATTTATTTTCTTCTAATAATATTACATTACTTATCATTTATATATAATTAGTTTACATATGTTAATTTGTTAGACTTTATATTTAGGGCCTTTTTTTATCTCGGCCCAAGCCGTTGAATTCTGAGGACCGGCCCTGGGTTCAAGTGACATTGAACCTGAATTGAGGCCAATATCTTCCCATGACATTGAGTTTTTAATGTCATGGGGACCTCGCCGTTGTTAAATATGTAAACAAATAGGATAACATAATTGTGATGAGGTGGTATCGTGTAGCACACGATTAGGTGCCATTATCTTTTCTCACAAATATATCTATATGTATAAATGTGCATAAGTAGGGTTGGTCGTCTTACCTCTAATGTCAAGCAGAAATAGCCAATCTTAAATGTTTGAGGCTTGTCAGATTTTGAAGGGGGGGTATAATCACATTTATCTGCACGTAAGATGTAGGCATTTATTCACAAAACAACAATATTGGGAAAGAACAAAACAAATTTCAGAAAACTAACCTCCGAATGTAGTTCAGTCATCACACTTAGATACTTCAAGTGTGAAAAATATACTGAAAGAGAATCAAGAGCATACGCTATAGGTACATTGATCCCTCCACGTACACACACTTCAGAAAGCAAGGACGCATTTCTAATATGCAGTTTTATACATTCACCACTATATGTAAATGTGCACAACCATGGGGCTACAATGTCAATGTTTTTCAACTTCGGACATGCGGCGACCTTTAGTTCCTTTAGTGCTAGCGGGCTAGCGGCGAACTGCGTGTTAAGCATAATGACTTATAAAAATTCAAGTTCTCAAGGCATTGACATGATAGCAGAATGCATTCAAGGACTTTGGTGGATATATTGAATATTGATGTGATCAAGAGTATAGACTTTCAAGCACGACTCTCTACTCCCCAAATTAATAGACTTAAGTGGGAGGAAACACTCGAGAGATGGGGCATAGAAAGAGCGTGTTGAACTTCTACGTATATCACTAAAATTTAGCACAAGACTTTTTGCTCCTTTTGCTAAGGCAAATGCCACCCACTTATCTAATTGGGATTGGTAACTATTGTCCAAAGCAAAAGCAACCTTGAACTCTTCAATTGATAAACCACGATGTTGTTCCACAATTTGAGAAACCAAGCTCACAAACCTAGATATGTATTGGTCCACAGGATCCCAATCAGGATCTTCAAAGTTAAATATGCCCGGAAAACAAGTCCATAACTCTGTGAGAAAGAGTTCCGATCCGTGCAGCTTCCTTCATTGTCAAACGAGACATGGTCGACAACAATGCGTCATCGGGCAGCTCACTTGGCCCATCAAACAATTTGCCACCACTTGTGACATGAACCTGAGTTGTGCAAAATCAAAGGGAATATCAAAATAGGCTCATAAGCCTCTTTTTCTTTCTCTTTATGGGAGGGATCGAAACTACCAACACCAAGTTATAGACTAACAGCAAAAAAAACTCAATTAAGAATAAATAATAGGAATGAGATGTTACCTTTTTGGATTTAAGCCCTTGGTTGTCAACCATTAATTATGGGTGATCACTTGATCAAAAATGGAGAAAGTTAACTTGTTTTGAAGTAAAATTAGTCTTCTTACATATTTATTTGGGTGATCAGTTGATCAAATATTTTTTTTATATTTTATTTTTTAATATTTTTCAACAATTCCCAATTTTTCCCCTAACATACAATTCTATACTCCCTTCATTCCAAATTAAATTGCATATTTACTATTCACAGAGTCAAACCTCATTCATTTTCTTTTTCTATTTTTGTTAGTTATTTGATAAAATAAAATAAGCATGTCACTGCTATTTTTGTAGATGTGATTTTTAAATGTATAATTTTATTTTTAATTCCAAATCATTTTTATATAAAATAATTTGAAAATAGAATTGTGGAGCTCAACTCTTCCGAGTGATCCAAACCGTACTCGACCCAATTAACAGCTACTCCGTATTCTTCTTTACCCCTCAGGAAAAAATACCTACTCCTAATCTCTTTACGACTTTACCAGCGTCAATTCCTTCATATGCCGTTCTTCTTCTCCAACCCATCATCATCTGTATTACCTGTTTAAACTTCGAATCTCATCAAATACTCTCAAGCAAAAAACTAGCTCGTTTCAATCATCCAGGTATGAATCACGGCTTTCAGATGTTTTTTTGTAATGTCTTTGATTTAATTGGTAGATCTATAAAGAGTAAATCTGAATCTGCAACGCCACACTTCAGATCTTCTCTGATCTATACTAGTATGTTTTAGGAGATGTGTATACTACACCACAGGAGATCTTGTTTTCACCTTCCATATGAATATTTGGTTTATTATATGTGTTTTGTCAATTTTTCCATTATATGCAGAGTATAATTTTATTTATATTTCACAGCATACAAATTCGGCTGAATTTGACTTAAAACATTTTTTTGCAAAGAAAATAGTTAAAATTTCAAAGAAAATATGATTATATTTAAGGAAAAAAGTATATGCCCTTTTTTTTATAATTAGATTGTAGAGCCAACACATATTGAGGTGAATGTGGAGCATTCACTAAACATTCTCTCTAGAAAATGCATCAATTAATTGACTAGCACGTGAAGTATATCTAAACATTCTCAAATGAAATATAAACTGTTTTTTTAAAACATTGAAAAGGAAGAGAAATTTGTAGACAAGGTAACATTGACCCATCAAAGTTATTACCAAATATTACATACTTGTAGTCAAGCCCAAACTCTATTCTGTACAATAATTACTCCTCAACTTCACTCTAGACCCTCTAGTGTACGATTTAGTGATCTTTCAAATCCAAGGCATAGCCAGGTATTTTGCTTCGACTCCTACTCTTGTCAAATGTTATTATCGAAAAAAAATCAAGTCTCATTTCAATTATCCTGACAAGGAATACATTTTATAGATGTTTTTTGCCATTATTTTCTCGTTTTTTGATCCACGGTGGGGAAACAATTTATATATGAAACCCTAGTCTGCAGATATATCTTCACGTTTGGCTTAATTATTTATTTTGTTATGAATTTCTTTTATCGAGCTTACATATAGGTGGGTTCTGTTGTATTAATGTTTTTTTGTCAGTTCTTGTGTTGCTTAGACTAAAAAAATTCTTATGTAGAGATGCATGGTTGTTTGTGTGAAATAAAAGTGAACGTTTATAGCTGAGTTTATAGAGTTAGTTTGAATTGTGTGTTATTGGGGATGGGAACATAGATATCACCTGTCGGTTTAGGCTGGAAATTCTGCAGAGTGAAAGGCATCATTATTCTGCAAAGATGTACTTAAAGTTTTGCAGTTAGAGTTATTCAGTCAGTACAGGTGAGAAAATTGGTGAAGAAAACTGATAGAAGAGAGATTGTTGATATAGAAGTAAGAGCTCTTCGGTCAGTTTAGCTGGAAAGTTTGTGGCTACGTGTGTGCATCATTATACATAGAAATTAGATAATTGATTTAGTTAGAGTTTTATGGAGTATCTCTAATATTGAGAAATCAGTGGTTTTTGTTAGTTTTTTTTTAAATTATTGCTTAGAGTAGAGAAATTATCATGCGGAGATGCATGGTTTCTGGTTGAAAACAAAGTGAACATTTTCACTTCAATTGATTGATTGAGTTTCAGTATTGTTATTGCGAGCCACACAAATCTATTGTTGTTGATCTAGTTAGTTTTGTGCAGTAGAAATTTTTTAGTCAATACAGCCTGGGAAATTGGCACAGTCAACTGCATTATATTCCCCCTGTTGCTATTAATATTCTCGTTCGGTTTATAATATTTGATCGAAGTTATTTTCAGTTTAATTTATGTAAATGTTGGTGTAAAATTTAAAAAATAAAACTATAAATATTTAAAAACAACACAAGAAGCTGTACAAAACAAGAGGTGAGGTTTACTACTCCCTCCACCCCGAAATGATTTACACTTCTACTATTTGAGCTTCCTAACAGCTTTTGTTTATTTGTGTGTTTTCATTGATTATTTCTTAAAATAAAATATTCTTGTCGCATCTTGTTATGAAGAATATTTGATGTAGTTTTTAAATATGTAATTTGTACTTTTTATTTCTATACCAATTTATAGATAAAATCATTTTAAAAAAGATGAGATTTTGCACGTTGTTCGCACATTGTAAATGAATTGAGACGGTGGGAGTATTTTTTTAGTAACTCCAAGATATAATCTCAACCTCTTAATTGTTGGGGTGAAGCTCCAACACTGAAAGTGAAGAAGCTTGGGGGGCGGAGGGAGTATATTATTTTGTCAAATGATGAATGAAAAGTTGTAAATATAGAAGTTAAAAAGAGGGTATAGTTTGGCCTTGAGAATAACAGCAAAGGGGAATATTAAAAAGGGAAGGATGGAGTATAGAGTTGTAAATTTCCATTACTTTCTTTCGATTGAGTTTGAATGGCAATGGTAAAGAACTGAAACAGGGAATAATCGTCTCTACGTTGCTTTCTTCTTTCAGGAATTGCACATAACATACATGGCCGCCATGGCAGCAGAGAATGTGAACGAACCCCCAATCAACGAACAAATGGTGGCCAACATATACGGTTCTCTAAGGTCGGAGATGAACCAGATATATTCTGAGATCACGAAAGTGGAGATGGAAGCCAGTGAGCACACACTTGTGATGAATGCCATTCAACCACTTGATCCTTCGAGGAGATGCTACAGGTTGATAGGAGGGGTTCTTGTGGAGAGAACCGTCAAAGATGTGTTGCCTGCCGTGCAGCGTAATAAGCAGGGGCTGGACGAAGTTCTTGCCCGGCTCAATGAGATTCTGGAGAAGAAGAAGAAGGAGATTTCCGAGTTCGAGGCCAAGTACAAGATAAGGATCAGAAAAGGGGAGAGCGAAGTGGCCGAGGAGGAGAGTGGCCGGAAAGAGGGGACTGCTCAGGGAGTCCTTGTTGGTCCTGCTGCTGTTAATGAGTGATGAGTCAGGAGGTCAGCACTGTCTCATCTTGTGTACTTATTTCAACAGTTTTGTGTGTGTGCCAAAATCAGATTTTAGCATGATATATTAGATGTATTGTCATTGGTACCCCTTCCATTCCCCACCCCATGATGTTTATTTGTCATGCCAATTAATTTGAAGATGGGTTGTGTTTGGGGGACGCCACTTTGCCACCCCCGGGCCTCACACACTAGACGCACACAGACACTTTGTGTGTGTCTGTGAACGCATGGTGTCAAAGTGGTGACCCGTAATATTCTGAGAGAATTTTTAATTTACATTAATTACTTAATCTTTGAGCTGTGTGTGATCTATTTGTAATTTTAGGATGTTATTGTAAAAATATTGAATTTCTGGGAGCATTAAGAATTCTCGTAATAAAGCAATCTTGGATCATTTCTTACTCCATGTTTTTTCGAAAATATTGACATATTGCGATCTATTTTCACTCTCTCTTCGTTTATTTTCTCTCCTCTCATTTCCTTGGAAATTTGCTCTAAAAAGTACGAGTATCTTCTCCAATTAATTTTTTAGGTTGATCTAGTCTGATCTGGTTGTTATATAATTTAAAACTGTTAATCCGATTTGATTTTAATACGAAAAGGTTAAAAAGATCGAAGTCATTTTCATATGATATACTCCGTAATACTCATCATCAGTCTAATATATAAGAAAATCTTTCCACATGATTAAAAGAAAAAAGTATTAAAAAGTAAGTAAAATAGGTGGTTGAAATTGTTATAAATTTTTTTTAATTTAGTTATACTTATTTTGATGCAAGATTTAAAATAATATTGAGCAATATTTGCTTGTGCAAAGATAAAACAGATTAATTTTATTTTCACTATTTCATAAATATTCACTTGTTTCACTCGTTAATAAAAATATTCCCTCCATCTCCAAACTAGCATTACACTTTTCTTTTGGACATTCCATAATTAAAGGTGCATTTCTCTTTTTGGTTAATATACAAAATAGACTATGATCTTGTTTGATGTTGGTTGTTGGATGTTTTTTGTCGGCTATTTTGAATGACTGATGAGTTTAGAAGATTCGTTTCAAATGAGTTGTTCATTGAATGAATAACATGATTGGCTAAATACATTGGCTAATTGTTAAAAAAATTATTTGGTAAAATTAACTATTTGTAAATAATTGTTTTGATATACTAAAAATGAAAATCTATACCTCGTATAATTGTGTTTGGGTGTGTGTTTGTGTATATATATGTACACACACATGTGTTTGAATTATTGATTCGACCAATGAACAAGTGTCGAAAATCAAGACTAATTTAATCATCGATTCAATTCTGAAAACTATGATTTTACAAAATACTAAAAAAATTCTCATATTTGGAGAGAATATATGCATACCAAGTTTATGGAAGTACACTTGCTATCCAACCAACGATCTATATTAGAGATAACAAGTTACATCTGACTCGGTGAATATGCATATCAATCCACCCACCCAATATAACTGATACAAACCCTAAACAATACGGACTGGTCGTATGCAGGCGAAAATTTTTGTCACTCCCCACCCGAGTTTTTTATAACATACACTTCAAAGACGGAGAAAGTTGCTTTTTTTTTGAAGTAAAATTAGTTTTCTTACATACACTTCAAATAATTTTTACATTTTATTTTTTTAATATTTTTCAACAATTCTCAATTTTCCCTCTAACATACAACTCTATACTTCCTTTACTCTAAATTAAATTGCATGTTCACTATTCAGAAAATCAAATCTCATTCACTTTTCTTTCCTATTTTCGTTAGTCATTTATAAAATAATACAATCATATCATCACTATTTTTATAAATATAATTTTTAAATATATAACTTTTATTTTTAATTCTAAATTATTTTTCTTATAAATAATTTGAAAATAGAATCAATCCTCCAAGTGATCCAAACCGTACTCGACCCAATTAACAGCTACTCCGTATTCTTTACCCCCTCAGGAAAAAAAAAATCCCTACTCTGTATCTCTCCACGACTTTACCAGCGTCAATTCCTTCATATACCGTTCTTCTTCTTCTCCAACCCATCCGTCTTTCATTTTCGACGCTCCTTGGCCTCCATCATCAGCATCATCATCATATGTATTACCTGTTTAAACTTCGAATCTCATCAAATATTCTCAAGCAACAAATTAGCTCGTTTCAATCAACCAGGTACGAGTTTCAGATGTTTTGTTTTTTTTATGATGTCTTAAATTGATCGTTAGATCTATGATCAATAAATCTGAATCGGGAACACCAATCTTCAGATCTTCTATTATCCATATATAATACATCACTAATATATTTTAGGAGATGTGTATGAAACACAAAACACGATCTTATTTTCACGCTCCATATGAATATTTGCTTTGTTATATGTATGCATGTATGTATTTTGTCAATTCTTCTATTTCATACGGTTGAATTTGATTTTTTTAAAAAAATCTTTCTCCCGTCATTGTCTTTATAAAATATCTTATCTATTACTTTAAAAAGATCTGTATTTTAATTTTAATACTCTCTACATCTCCGTATTAAGTTGATAGCTCTATCTATTGTCAGTAATTTTTTGAAAAACTGCTTGTGTGTAGAAAGTTATATGAAAAGATGCTGGATTGCTCTTTTTTCATGTTCAGGGCCGGGCCAAAATTTTTGGAGACCGTGTGCAAATATATATTGGTTACTATTAAATTTTCAAAATGATTTTTCTTAGTGCTCAATCCTATTTTAGTTTTAAGGGTGTATACTTTTACTGCACTATCCGATTATTTTGGTGTTTAGAATTGAAACACTATTTGTTGCAAAGCAAATAGTTACAAATTCAAAGAAAATTTGTTTTTTTTGGAAAAAAGTATATGCACATTTTTTTAATTGATTGTAGAGCCAAAACATACTGAAGCGAATCTGGATCATTCACTGAATGTTCTCTTTAGAATATTTATCAATACATTGACTATGGATGATAACAAATTGTGGCTCCATGTCTCTGACACCCTCAGGGCCACTCCTATTGTATATTTGTATGCTGGGGTAAACATTTTATCAATTTTAGTTCAATTTATAGAGTGAGAGCACAAGCTGATTTCACCACTCCATTATTTAGTTTTGAATGTATTTCAACAAATTTGAATTTGGAAATAAAGTAAAATGGCTTTTAAAACTGTCTGCATCTCTTTCAATGGTGTAGTAGCAGCAAGTCAATGCAACTTTCACGGGTCATGTGGAAACAAAACGTCTATGTTTTAAACATATGTGTCAGGTTATGTCCATCTGACCCCCTTACCCCGCAATAGATGTGAGCCTTTGAGGCAATGTTGTTTTTTGGAGACAACAATTTTTTTGACAAATACTTCAGCAACCAGCGTGGGTGCTCATTACCGGACACTAGATAGCCTACCCCTATTTTTTGTATTAATTATTATTCAGTCAATTTTGATGAGGAAATTTGCAGAGGGAATTGCATTATTATATGTTGGTAGATTTCATCATTTAGACCTTAAGTTGCACAATTTTAAATAAGTAGTCAGCACTTGAAATTGCCGATTCATCCTCTTACTCCTTTCAACAAATCCTTAATTGGGTGTTACTTTTGTTGATTGGAAAGCATTTTTTTTCTTTAATATATTTTGGTTCTATTACATTGTGTTGTCTATTGTCCAACACTCCAACTCAATCCCCGGCTTTATAGGAATTAGGAAAGACCCAGTTTTGGTCTTTCGATTGTCAATGAAGCAATTTTATTGCAAAGGATACTATGTAAGATGAAGGCTACCATACGTTCGATAATTATATTGTTTTTTTGGTTGTTATTGGATTGAACAGGTATAATAGATCTTTCAGGGATGTACTCTACAAAAGGGAATCCGTTGCACAATCAGTGCAGATCCTCACATGGTAGAGGTAGAAACCGTGCCAATGATCACAATGCCCCTGTTTCTACCAATGCCTACAACAACAAAAAGTACTTCAGTAGCAGCTTTCCACATCAAGATCTCCATCTTCCAGATAAATTTGCAAAAAAAATTAGGGACTGTTGCTACAACTACATTGACAATTCTGTGAAACCTGAGGTTGAACCTTCCACGAAAAGAATGAAGTGTTCATCTCCTTCACAGGGGATGCACCATCAGCAACACCATGCACTTAATAATATTCCATCAAGGCGACCGCCCCCCAATAACAGTTTGCATCCAAAAAATCAGGGTGCCTATGGCAGTGCCACCACAGCCTACAACCATAATCTTACCATTTCCGTTTCAAATGTTAAAGATAGTGATAGAACTTGTTCTGATGGGCATGGGTCTAATATCTACAAGCGTGTTCGATCAGAAATTGAAGATGGTGACATTGAGGTGGGTTTTATGACTAGAGAGGAAATTGACAGGTGCTCTCCATCTAGGAAAGATGGTATTGATGCTGTGCACGAAATGCAACTGCGATATTCATATTGTGCTTTCCTTCAGACGCTTGGAGCCCGACTTGAATTGTAAGCCTCCTTTTACATTTGGGCTGTTGTCATTCATTGATGCATATGCATCGAGCTAACCAAGGCATTTTCTAAAATTCAGATGTTTTTATTTCAACAAACTAGGATTGTTGTTATTCTATTGCCGTAGTTTCTTTGATTTAACCTACTGGCAGACTAACCTTTGCTTTTCATGTAGGCCACAGACCACAATTGGGACTGCCATGGTTCTGTGTCACCGATTCTTTGTTCATAGGTCTCATGCTTGTCACGATAGATTTGTGAGTATTGTGTGTTTCTAGTGACTGAAACTTTGCAGCATTCTTTGACCATTCTTTCTGCAAAATCATTGACACATGTTTTTTGCTATTACAGCTGATCTCTACTGCAGCTCTCTTTCTAGCTGCTAAATCAGAAGAGACACCATGCTCTCTCAACAACGTGTTGAGATATGCTGCTGAAATATTTCATAAGCAGGACTTTGAATATTTATCATACATACTTCCCATTGTTAGTATCATTACTTCCTATGTCTTTCTCTCACTTTCTATTGGCACACACTTTTTTCCATTTTCTCTGGTTAATTATATATCTGACATGCTTTTATGTTGTCTAACCTTATGCAGGTCTGGCTTGAACAATACCGTGAACGCGTTATTGAGGCTGAGCAATTGATCTTGACAACTTTAAATTTTGAGCTCAGTGTGCAGCACCCATATGGTTCTCTTACATCCACCCTTGAGAAATTGGGATTTTCCCAATCAGTTTTGGTGAATTTGGCAATGAACCTTGTCAGTGAAGGGTAAGAGTTGTTCTTCATTTCATTCTTCTGAATTGGGGTATTTGTTAATTTTTATGGAAGATTCTCTCTTTGGCCATCATAATAGATTGGAAATTGTGATGCCAAGTTTCATTTATGTTAAATGCTGCCACCTTTAAGAATTGCTATTTTCATAGTAGCATTTACTCATTAAATACATGGTTTTTAGGAGCAATGTGGCTGGAGATGAGAGCAAATATGTTCTTTCGTTCTGCTTTTCCTAACAGTTTTACAATTGCTTGTAGCTTCTGTGCAAGTTCTACTTTACATGCCATTATTGCTCTTAGTCATTTTGGAGCTGATTTTGATACCTTTGGATTGACATAAAATTGCAGGGTCTTTAGAAGGATTAGCTTGCTCGCTTGTATGATATTCTTAGCTGGCGGTTGATATGCTGTACATCAATCGTTTTGTTTTTCATCTGAAGTTAAAACTAGCCACTAGTGAATGCTTTTCACCTAACATATAAATAGCAACTCATTGGCCGTAGAAGATATTCACAGATGTTCCTGGAACAATTTTGCCATGACATTGTGTTCATGACACGGAGAAGGAACCAACTGACTTATTGAGTGTTCAAAGCTTTACTTTCCATATTACCTAATCCTTCCAGCCCCAAAACAAATTCCGATATGCTATTACAGGGTCAAGTTAAATTTTTTTTTCTTGTGTATTTTCATTGATCATTTTATAAAATAACACTCATATCACCTCTTATTTTTTACTCAGGCTGTCCCTAAAAGAGTTTTACAGTTTCCTTTTTCTTATGTTTCCAAATAAACTAAACACTCCTTTTAGGAAATGAATATGTGGATCTTATCATTTCTCTATCTTTAGAAAAAATCAAACTATCCAATTTTAACTGAACATTTTTCACTAATAATACTTTTCATGAACTCTGTGAAGTCAAACTTTAAGTTATTAGAAGGAAGTAGAACTTTAGATGTAGAACTATATGAATTTTAGTTTTCATTTCTACTATAATTTTCAAATAAAACAAGTTGAAATAATATTAGTCACCCATTGTAAACCAAAATGAGAACTTGTTTCTGGGACAGATGATGTATGTTTTTTTGTGTCTACATAGGACACCTGTACAGTGTTTGGCCAGTAAAATTTGTTTGGAGGCACTTAATGCAAATATTTTGATGCACAGTAGGGAACTGGTATATTTGCATATTTTCATGATATCTTGATTTAATACTTTCTTCAAGGTCATGCCTAATCCAGTGTACACCTGCAATATGCAGACTATGTGCGGCCCATCCTATTTTTCTTTTCACCTAGAGTCTGTTTCTTGGGTTTGGAGTTTGAAACCATGACTTCTAACCAGGATGCGTAACCACTGTAACAAATATGATCTTTTCCATTTTCATAAAATAATATAAAATGCTGTTGATGCAACAGTTTTAAAAAAATATTTTTGTAACCCTTTTCCTTTGAAAAAATCCTATAATGGATATGAGTTATTTATTTATTATTAATTTACTTATTATTAATCTATTTATTTATTATTCGTCCTTTCACTTTTTTTTTGTTTTGTTTGGATTCAAAAGTGAGGTTATACAGTTCTCACTTTGTAATCCTTGAGCACATAGTGCATGAGAATGGGAGACCAGGAGAGTTGATTTCATGAGTATGGGAAAGATGAGATTTTAAGTATCAGATCTGAGTGGCTATTAGATTGGATAATTGTGAAGCAACTGCTGTGGTGGAACATATAACATACATAGTTATCAAGGCGTCGCCTAGGCGTCGTCTAGGCGACGCTTAGGCGTCTGGGCGAGGGTTGGTGGACGCCTAATTGGTCGCCTAGCTTTTTTTTCCCTGGGCGACTGTGTTGTACAGTGACTATGTCACCATCTCTGAGACGCGTCTCCATTTTAGAAGCGCAATGGAACGGAGGAGGAGAGGGAGAGAAGACGGAGGAGGAGATAGAGAGAATACGGAGGAGAGGGAGAGAAGACTTATCTTTATCGCTGAATATTTGTCGTGCGGCTTCCAGATCTGCGACCTCCACTGCCTCTTCCTATCTCTCTATCATTTAGACTAGTAGACTAGGTCAAATAACTGGGCTAGATTCATTAATAGAC